TATATTTAGACATAAACATATCATTTATTACAAACAAAAATACACATAAACACACAAAATAACAATAATCAAAGAAAAAAATATGAAAGATATAAAAAAAAAAATTTTTTTTCCTTTTCCCATTCGGTTCGTTTCAAGCGCATTACGCGTGTGTGCTGTGGTTGTAATTGGCCCTGGCTCAGCATTATGCTGAGGAGCAGAATATTCCACAGCGCTGGTCATTCTGCCAGAGACCGCATCAGGTAGTTTGCGCCTCAGTCGCAAAAAAAATGTATTAATACTTAGTAGAAAATAATAATAATAATAGTAAAAGTTTGCAGTGTAAGTAATGAAGTCTTATGTAATGGTGTGAAGTAAATAAAATAAAATTAAAAGTTAAAAATAAGAATAATTCTTAAGAAGTAGATAACTAATTAACAGTAATAACTAATTTTTCATTCCCCTAAATGTTAAGAGTGGTCCCACCCCTAAATTTTTATTTTTTAGACAAAACTTTGTTTTTATTTTTGTATGATACATTGTCCCCTTAATTGTCCGCCCTTACGAACAACCCCTATTTTTTATTATAGTAGATAGTTATTTTTATTGAACAAAAAAATGTTTCCTACAAATAATATACATGGCAAGACAACGTTTGCCGGGTCAGCTAGTTAATAAATCAATAGAAATCTGTATTATTCACATTAAGTTAGGATAAGTACTATTGCAGATTCTTCCCCGAGGGTTTAGTGTTAATGTGGACCACCCCAGATGAGCCGATCAACTGTGTGGCCCACCTCAAGTATCGCAATGCCAGGCAAAGCCAGGGCATCATGTCGGGGCATTATCGTTTCGTGGGGACTAAGGTATACTCAATAGCATTCTTGTCTCTTTGATAAAGGTTTTTGTCAGAATTGTTTATTATGCGTTCTTTATATTACGATTTTAAAAGGTTTAAGTATTGACTCCAAGTTGAAAAACTTAATTATTTTTAAAGTATAGTAAAAAGCCCAATAGTGTATAATAGTGCCCCCGTATTCATTGTGTTCTGATCTCATATTTACTCAAACTCAAATATTTATTGCATTCCTTATGTTCATATTTTACAATAAGGGCCTTGGTTAGGCACAGCAACGTTGTGAGAGGGCACGCTTTATTTTAGTTAACTATATTCTTATACATTTTTATTCTTATAAGATACATATTTATTTGGTATATTTGCTTTGTTTTCACATTGCGAAAAGGTACTTATTAATAATCTGAACTTTTATAAATAAATTAAAGTCTATTAGTCAGATACTCTGTAACAGTGTTATAACATTTCTTATATAATAACTAATATAAATAATAAAGCAGTGTTGGCCTAATGGCTTCAGCGTTTGACTCTCATCCCTGAAGTCGTTCGATCCCCGGCTATGCACCAATGTCTTTATATGTACGCATTTAACATTCGCTCAAACGGTGAATGAAAACGTTTGAAAACCGGCTTGTCTTAGACCCATTAATTCGACGGCGTGTGTCAGGCACGGGAGTCTGATAACCTACTTGCATATTAGATTGACTTAAAAAGATTGTAGCGCCACTGATTTATTATTTTATTTTAACTGCGCAATAATAGTGATAAGAAATTGTTTGCAACGAATCAGAATGAAATAATAATTAGATAGATGATTTTTTAACTAATTTAATTAAAACTCTTTAGGTGATTATAGTAATAAAGAAGACTCCAGAGAAGAAAGCTCCACAATCTTCCAACACGCGATTCCGTGCCCGACGCAAAGAGTCTCACGAACAGGAACAGATATACCATATCGTATGTATTTGGTTGGCCACGAAGCCTAGAGCTTTATAAAGTTTTAATAACAAGCTTCAAAAGTCACGAGTTGCCCGCATTTTTGGTTTTATTATTTATTATAAATAAAAGAAAACTTTTTATGACAGAAATATAATAAATAAAAATCACTTTATTTTAAGCAAAAATAATTACATTTTGTACTTACATTCTAAAGGTTAGGTAGGCAGGCAACGAATCGTTGAGTTACATTATTCATTTTGGTAACAGACACAAAAACAGACAGGAATACGGTTATCACAAAATTGATCTAAGTCTCTAAATGTCCCCATGTGTTGTATGTAACTAATTTACAATTATTCCATGATATATTTGCATTTTTTAAATATTTTTTTAAAGAAAAAGTAAACTTAGTGCTACAACTAATCAAACACAAGTCGTATATTAGACAAAATACGCATGAATGTATGAGTATGTGAATGGGTGTGTGTGCGTATGTATTTAGACAGTCTATTCAGGCCGAGCTACGCTCGCTAAAACAGCTCGAGCTGAGCTGTAAAGGCCCTTAAGGCCAACAGCGAGATTCCATTCAAAAAAAAAATTCAGTCATGTCAAAATATGAATAGGACATTAGGTTCGAAATTAAATTCGGTGTGTTTAATACTTTGACTATCTCAGAATTCATAGATTGGGAGATTTTATTATATTAACAAAAACTTATAAATAAATGCCTGTCAATTATATGAAGATGATTTTTTACTTAGGAAAAATTAAATAAGCTCTGACCAATATTATTAAACTGGTTAGTACTTGACCCAAAACCGCCAACCCGATCACGCCTAGCGGTTTTATCTAGGCGTGATCAGGTTTAGGCGGGCCGTTGAAAGATTTTTTGACTTTTTCGATCTTCAGACTCTGGACTTGCTAGATTATTTTTATTTTGTAAGTAATAATTTGTGCCTATTTTAGTATAGTAGTTTTATACTAGGATTACATTGTCTTCACATATAATTATTTAACTGATGTATACAAATTCTTCTCCACACGAAACGAACCTTTTGGAAGGGGCAACTAGAATCATCTTTATATTTTATTTGACGTTCAAAAGTGCCATTTTTGGTGGTCTAATTGAAATAAATGATTTGACTTTCGACTTATTCCTCTATAATATATTGTGTGAGATTTGGGAACCCTCTTAAATAAAAAATACCTGTTTCAGGGTTCCCAGCTCTTCCATAACAAACTTATTAGTAAATTCCAAAAAAACTTTTTTTTTACATTTATTTAAAAAGGCTTTATATAATAATGTAACAAAGCTTTTTTTACTAATGTCTATAATATTTCTATTGGCAGGAGTTGGAGCTTCGAAACGTCCGTTCACGTCGTAATTGGTCCCTAGTATGGAAGCACTACGCAGTTTCTACCCGTGGCCAATGGTCGAACTTTGAACTCGGCTCTAGTAAATTCCCTCCCTTTGTGTTCAGCCGTGTCCGGAATTACACAGCTGAGTCCTACGAGCCACTAACTTCCTAAACTTAAGCTCATTATAAGTAAGCCTGTATTTTTGTATGCTGTATCATAAAATCAAAAGTTTTTTTATCAAAAATAAAAAAAAATTGGGGTGGACACCCCTTATTACTAAGGGGTTTAAAAGATAGATAGTAGACCATTCGCAGATTTACTAAATCTGCATAAACAATTTCATAAGAATCGGTCTAGCCGTTTCGGAGGAGTATGGGAACGAACATTGTGACACGAGAATTTTATGTATTCGATAGAAGTGTTCTTAAATTGTTTCACAGATAAGATTGTTAATAAAGAGTATCAACTAAAAATAAAAAATAAAATATATAAATAATATAATTATTACATTTGTTTCAGGTAACGCTAGCAGCACTCTTGCGCAGTTCTTCGTGGTTGTAATTTTATGTCTAAGTGTATTTCAAATATTGTTTTAAAAACAAAGTCAAACCTCTATATTTTTGTGATGTGTAAATAGATTGGGCAAAGCTAATAAAGATATAATTGCACAATAGTGTTGTCTTTCTTTACTACCAATTACAGTAGCCCCCTTATAGCGCGGTACCCGTGTAACGCGATTTGCGGCAACATATAATACGCGGAGCTTTCTCATGTTATATTTCTGTAGTGTGAAATTTATAATGATTTGACAAGTCTATAAAAAGTTTTGCATATCTTTGCACCTTCAATTGTGTTGTTATAAAATTAAACTATTTTTTTTAATTAAAGTAGTGTTCCTAGTTTTTGAATTGTTCAAAAAACGGTTTTACGAGAATACTCCTACAGCGCGATTTGGTATAACGTGTTCCGAGTGTACCGCGTTATAGGAGGTTTTATTACTGCACTACTTATTGCACATCGCTGTGGATTGGATCTTGTTAATACCATCCATAGAAACGAAGACCATTTTCGATGTATTCAAAACGTTACTAGATTGTCTATGACAATTTGTGAGTTAGTGATTTTTCTACTTATATTTATTTAATGACAAATTTGCACGCTATTGTTACTGGCAGAATATATTGAGAAACAAATATTATTTTATTTTATACAATTTGGATAAATAAATATATCTCAACAGCGGGAATGCATTATATTATTTAAATTACATTTTAAGTGATTTCAATCGTGGTAAGAGAGAAACTTTCAAGAACACAACGATATTAAACAAGTTTTTTTATATTTTGGAAACTTTAACGTTCATTCGAACGGTAAAGAAAAACATCGTGAGGAAATTGGCTTGCCTTAGACCCAAAAAGTCGACGGCATCAGACACAGGAGGCCTACTAGCCTATTAGATTGACAAATGATGATGAAACAGATACAGAAATCTGAAGCCCAGACGTAAAAACGTGGCGCCACTGATTTATTTTTATGCCTGGATACTAAATATTAATAAAAATTATCTTTGAAACATACAGACTACACTTGTCCTATGCAGACAGAGGCTACTATTACCCGATCTTAAATTCGAGACATTTAACAGTCTATTTATACTAGAGGAGGCCGTGAAATAAAAAGAATATTTAAATAGTTTCAGTATTTATTATACATATTACATCTGACTAGAAATGAAACAACTTCTAATGACTATAAATTTATTCTTCAATAAGTTATATATGTGTTATTTACACTTGATCTGGCGTAGCGAACGCCCCGCCGGCCTTGAGCCCGAGGCCGGTCAGATGAGGCGCTCGCTGAGCCAGATTCAGGAATCGGGGGGTGGAGGCGGCGGCGGCGGCGGGGCGGGCGGGGCCAGCGCGGGCTCCGTGCTGCGGCGCCGCACCTTGGCGCGCTTCTTCAGCATAGTGGCCTGCGGGCAGCGCGCCACTGAGACGGGCCGGCGTCACGGGCCCGCCGGGGGGCCCGCGCCCGACCCTCGCTTGCTCTTCTTTAGCATGGTCGCCTGCCGGTCACACAGCCGTGAGGCACTCGCTACACGCTCTCTATGCTAGCATACGTCAGCCAGACCGTTACCCCGGGCGAACCCCTTTTACTAACCGCGAAGCCAATTTATACCGAGCCGAGCCTGCGCGTTTTCACTGAGCGAACATTCAACGATCAAAGCGAGTTATTCGGCGCCGACACGGGGCTGTGACCAGCGACGTCAACCGTACTCTGAGACTTCTCTACACTCCACACTCGAAAATACATATTGCGTAATGCGTTTGATTAAGCTTAACGTCCTTTTTATTATGGATGAGTGGAGTTTAACATCTCAGAATACAGTTGTAAGGCACATAATACGTATCTTACACATTTCAGGAATCAGATACGATACTATGTGCTTGATACAAACAAAACAATTATTTTAGGATGAGGTGTAACTAATAGGCCGCGGGTGGGCGCGGTGCTCTAATGATTATGAATGTTATGTTACTGTAAGCAGATATTTAAAGGCAATTTTTACAATTAAATTTATATAAAAGCGGTCAGCTAATGTCACAAAATTACAAAAAAGACATAGGCCTCATGGTGCCTTTTTCCATAGAAACTTACTTCGATAGGATGGTTAAAAAAATGAATTAAAGATTAAGCGACAAGTTTTATAGCGTATCAAAGCTCCAATTACTTCAGTTGTAAGTGTAAGACGTCGGCAGTACAATACAGAACTATTTCTTTTACAGTAACTTAACAATATCGTAAGCGATTCGTAGCTGCGTCTCGACAGTGAAAACGCGGGCACAGCGTACTCGTGCAATTTGGCTTTTGGGTCCATAACGTGTTTCAAAACAACCCACATGCAGACCGTTAAATACAACGCATTTAAATGTCTGCTATTCATTATTCTGGATTCATAGATGGATATGCTCAAATTAGGTCTGACTTCCGATTTCGGATTTGAAGCTTTTAAATTTAAGAAATTCAGTTGTATTACGTCGAAATTTGAGCATTATATGTATTTACCTAAGTGAATAAAATAAAGATTTAATTTCAGAAAACTCAAGCAAGCATGCATTTGCGAGTGACATGAAATCAATATTTAATCTTTTATTTAAAATAACTAATCAGTCACGTCACTGATAATTTTGTATCTGCCAAGTACTGTTAACATTAGACCCACCTGACGCTAACAACAAAATAACAGTATGCGTGACTGGACTCGGACGTAGCAATTGTGTGGAAGTGATCAAGCGTGAACTGAGGCATTAGCAGGACGCACGTATTCGTATCAGTACAACAATTTCTGCATTTGACAGAACACATCGGCTTTTCATACAGTTGGTATAGTTTTCTATATGTATTCTATTCGAACGATATATGCGTCGATTTAGTTCGAAATATTATGTTAATTATTTGACCGTACGGTTCAAGCTAAAACCTCTGATATCATTTCCATACAATTTTAAATTGCGTTAGAGCAGTGTTTCCCAACCTTTTTGTCCCCCTTCTCTATGTAATATACAAAAATTAATATTAAAAATGAAATTGTTCATTTAAGAAACTTATTGAGTTTAAGGAAGAAATCACGAGGAAATTGTTAGCCACTTAGGAAACGAAACACAGTAAGGAAATTTTCAAAACAATGAAAAACGTTACTTTGAATTACCCCCTTGTGGGGCGTGGGCCGCACGTTGGGAAACAATGCGTTAGAGGGTCACGCATACTTTATAGAGTAAAGTAGAAATTATAATATTTAATAATTGTGAATTTATGTCGTGTTTTAATCAAAACGTTAATTAAAAATAAACATGTATCGTGCCGGGTGGGTATAACGCGTTATACAGTGTCGAAAGGTATCACATGACATTTACCTTGAGTGCGGATTTTAGTACGACGACCTCGCTCGGTGCAGCCACCCATGGCTCCCCATCAACTTGTACGGGGATCTCGCTTTTGAGATTGATCTTTATGTGTCCGCCCTGAGAGATTTGAAACGAATGTTTAAATATATAAAACGAATAATTTTAACGAGAACGCAATGATTTTCAGATGAAAGATACTCTTTTTTTTATGGCTCTGGCACGGTACATAAGCCAGCCATGAGATTTTTATAATTCATGCTTGCCTTAGAAATTCGACCATGTCCTCCATGTACGGTTTAGGCACTCGCCCGGTACCGCACAACCCTCCCAAAGGCCGAGAACAAATTTAAATTAAATTAAAACTTGCACTCGAACCGGGAATCGAACCCGGTACCCCTCACCTAGCTACCACTTAATAAGACCGCTAGGCTATGAGGCCCCTAAAAGATACTCTTAGACTGGTCACAGTTTGATATATGATATTTTTGATATGATGGCGAGATAAAAACAAACAAATCTCGAATGTATTATTAATTATAATAACTAGTAGTAGTATTCACAGGACTTCCAAATTGTCTTGTGTTAAATTAAAATAAGAACCTGTGGAATGTAAAAGCACGTGACCTGTTTTAACTAGACTCACGATTTATTCAACTAGTTTTCTACAGGCGATTTTTCGTGTATTTTCAAATACCTGTGCAATTCGCATAGCGCCTCTCAGACCGGACTGTATTTGGCCAAGGTGAACTACTCCCGTGACGCCTACCACCTCCAACATGCCGTCCCAATGGTTGGGCTTGTTGAACTGGTCATCCTTCTCCGGACCCCACGGGTTCGCACCCGAGCCCCAGCTGAAAAGACATCCTTGTGAAGACTGTGACACTTAATGGGACTAAAAACTAATTTTAGCAAATTTTCGGACCCACTTTTTACACGATTGCAGTGGCGTAACAATAGGGTGGCAGGGCAAAATGCCACGGGCCCCCGACCCAAGAGGGCCCCTGCCCAAGAGATATTATGTTCTGTGGATGAATGTGAAGTCTCCAATACGCATTGGGCTAGCGTGCCTAAGCGAGGAAGCCTATGGCCATTAATGGGACATATAACTGAATACGCTGAAATTCTCGAAGTTTATTAAAATTAAACTGAGTAGGGATTTTTACTGATAAAATAAATAAATCAGTGGCGCTACAACCTCTTTACGTCTTGGCCTCAGATTTCTGAATCTGTTTCATGATCATTTTTAAATCTAATAGGCAAGTAGGTGATCAGGCTCCAGTGCCTGACACACGCCGTCGACTTTTGGGTCTAAGACATGTCGGTTTCCTCACGATGTTTTCCTTCACCGTTGGAGCAAATGAGAAATGCGAACATAGAAAGAAAGTCCATTGGTACACAGCCGGGGTTCGAACCTACGACCTCAGGTATGAGAGTCGCACGCTGAAGCCACTAGGCCAACATTGCACTTTTACTGATAGGGCCCCATTTAAAGAATTGCCACGAAAGAAGATTTGCCACGGGCCCCAGATGGCATAGTTACGCCACTGCACGATTGGGTTTTATTTTCAGAGTGTAGTAGGGTTAAAGCTGAATTTAAAACAGGTTTAAAAAGATATAAAAACTGATTAGTTAAATAATTATTTACAATCTGACTTAGTGTTTCTTACCTAAGAATGTTTAGGATGATGATACCCTCGACTGCGGGCAGCTCGACAGGTTTACCGTCCACCTCCAGCTTTACAGCCTTGTGCAGGTCTTTGCACATCTTGCGGCCCACCATCTTACGAAGACCCATCTTTACATACACACCCTTATTGCGTAACCTATATTACATAGTATTATTAGAATAATGTCCGATTGTCAACTGAAACTTTTGAAGTATAACACGTACCTGCTATTGAATTTATTTGGATTCTCCTCTCTCGCGTTATGAAAGTCTAGACAGAGGTCCGCGTCGATCCCGATGCCAAAGTAATTGTTCATGACCAGGATTTGCGAGTTGTCCTCGCTCTGGGAACCTAGCCCGACACAGGTGAACACTGCATTTCGTTAGTATTTCGCTTAAATAGTGCGTATTGGGAAATATACTAAATGTAGGGTGCTATAACCATCTAAGAGGAACTATTCTAAAGGTTACGACGTTATCTTGACTTGAATTCGTGGATGCGATGATGTTAGTTATTTCGACTATGTATTTGCGTGTTGTTCCCAGGAGAATATAAGTGCGTGCTCCTATTTCACCATGCCTTCTGCTGATAGAAGTCAAATCTTTGTTTTTAATTTATTTTATTATTAATTATTACTTAAATGTCATGTGGAACATGGTGAAATAATTGCAGCTCCTTACAAACTTGGCGGAGAGTTCATTGCCAGTTCTTCTCTTCCGTTCTACACCCTTGATTTGAGAACTGGCAGTAAATGTAAATTTAGAAGCATTTAATTTATATTTATTTTTTGACGTTCATAAGTGTACATTGTGTTACCTATATGAATAAATGATTTACACTTCTGACTTTATATCTACCCTTTTGTTATAATTGTCAACGTATTTAAACAATTATATACACGGTATTAAATATAAAAAATGTCCAAGCGTCCAATAACAGAAAATAAACTCCAACATGTGTAAGACTCTGTAATTAAAAGTAATATATGTTTTATATTTTATGGATTTATTGAGTTTTTATTTGTGTGCCTATATTATTGCGTGATTGTTAGTTATTGAATGTGTATATTTTTTACGAACATTTTTACGTTGAAGTTATGCTTTCTTTATTCATAGGAAGTGTTTCTAATTAATACTTCTTCTATTCAATCTAAAATTTCTGTGGTCTAAGCCCACATATTCGCATACACGAATGAATCGCATTTAATTTGTTCATGTTTGTGATTAATAAATTAAATACTAAAAAATATTTGCCATATTCACAAAAGGAGTCACAGTTCTTGATTAATCTCGGATATTTTTGTAAGTCTACATATCAATTATATATATAGTGCATAAATAAATAAATTGCAATACAGCGAGAAAATGCTGTCAGCGTTAAAGGTACACTGCCACAGGGAGCAATTTTTTTAAATTAGTTTTTTTTTTTTAATAAATTTTTAATTATTATCATTAATACTATATTGGAAAAACTATAATATTTAATGGTATACACTATTATGAACAGTTTGTTTGGTAAAACCACTAATCCACGAACTTTAGTTCGAATTGAAATATTTTTTGTGACTACATATTTATCGAGAAAGGTTTTAGACTTTCAACATCGCTCGCAGCCGTAATATTTAGCTAATGTAGTATCCAAATATAGTGGATTTTGGATTTTTTGCAAATCCGACATTGTTCTACGTATATATTCTTAGCAAAAATATTAATATTTTTAAAATTATTTATCATTTAGATTATTTTTAATTTTCTTGAATTTGAAAATTATCGTCTAAAGCTGTGAAATATAAGACTTAGGAATGCCCTCAGATTGGAATGTGGGTGATACATACCAGGTAAGGTCTGTTTGGAGAGGTCCTTCGGTTCGTCCTGCTTGTCCTCAGGATGGAAGACGACGGTCCAGCGATCGAGCCGGATCTCCTCAGCGTCAATCACGTCACGCAACAAGGACATGGGATCTTCACAACCGGTGTAGCCGGAGCCCCAACGGAGGACACGCGCGAGGTCATTGCCTGGGTGAATGGGTGAACGATGGAGGTTAATTGTGATTGGTCAAAGCATCTGGAGTTGAATTCGTATAAAACAAAAGTTTTTATTTTAAGTGTGATAAACATTTTGTCTTTTGTTTTTCATTCTCCTTTCATACTCCTCTCATGCGCTAAAAATGCTTGGATTTATTACTTAAAACTAATGATTATAACGTAAGTAAAAGTATCTTTAAGAATTCGAGTTTTTTTTTGCTTGAGATTATTTGTAGCGGCTGCTTCTAAATTTAATATTTGCCTTTATTTAACTGTATGTTATTAAATAAAGAAATAATTGAATAACATATGGTTATAAACAAGAACAAAACCTTAGTGATTTAGAGGTACGGAAAGTTTTTTTTGCCAGTTCCTGTCGTATTATCTTGACTTGAGAACTGGCAGTAAATGTAAATTTAGAAACGTATTTTTTTACTGGCGTTCATAAGTACCTACATGAAATTGTAAAAGAAATACTTCAGCTACCTGTTCCGAGGGGTACGATGGCGCAAGGAGGGTTGGAACATTGCGAGTCTTGCCCCACGTTATCCAGACACTGCAGCACCCAGCCGATGGTGCCGTCTCCGCCGCACACCAGTATCTTATAATTAGGAATATGACGGAATACGTACAGCCTGCAAAAAATATTTAGACGAACATAAAACCTGTTCTTCATACACTTTTCTATGAACAATAGTGTTCTTGAAAAGGATTTTGATTAACCAATCAAATATTATTAAAAGGTTCAACTTTGTAATCAGCAATTAAGCAAGTGTAGAAATAGATTAGGTAGTTTGTGTTCGTGTAAAGGCAAGACCTTAAAAGGTGCGTCGTTATTAATTTCGCCGCCGACCAGTCACTTTCCGAGCGGCTTGATCCCTTGGCGTCACGTAGAGATGTGGGTGGCATTTACAAAGGAGTGTGTTCAGAGGAGTTGGTCGTCTTAATACCTGCAGCTGAGTTTAATCATTGGACCTCAATGCAGAATACGTAATAACGAAAGTATCACCTCGACTTATATACGTATCGTCCGTTGTTCCACTACTATGTGGAACCAGCTGCTCACTAAAGTATTTCCGTACCAATTCGACTTAGGATCCTTACAGAAAAGCCCGGCAACATACTTGCGAGCCTTCTGCCAATGTCAGTGACCATGGGCGGCGGTATTACTTTCGCCCCCTTATAAATAACAAAATCTCTTTCTGATTGATCTTAAAAATCATTATCAAATGAACCATGTCTCACCCAGGTAACGGACCACCGTTTTCTAAATCGAAGACTTGATACGGGTTGAGGAGTTTCCGAAAGGAGGAGATGAGTTCCAGGCCCTGGCAACCACCGGACTTCACGTTCACGAAAACTAGGAGAGGCTTCACCCCCGCTGGGACCATGGAAGGTTCGATGCTCGGTAGCAGCATCACTGTAGTATCGTATTTTATTAATTCTTGATGATTAAAAATCTACCAAACAGTATTGAAGGTGACCCTCAAGCCTGGCTGGACACCAATCGATTTATTTGTATGTACACAGATGCTTGTACAATCAAGGTAAACGTCGTCAGGAAACTGACATCTCCAAGATCCAAGTAACGACATGTGTCAAGCACTAAAGGGTGATCATTATATAAAAGGCTTGTGATAGTATTATTAATAATATCAATTTGGCGCAATCGTAAGCTGTTACTAAAGAAATAATATTTTATAAATCGTTTATATTAAGCCAAAATCCCATTCCTATTATAAACACTACAGTAAAAGACTACAAACAATTACATCAGTAACAATGATGAAACAATTACTAATTAATATATATTTAGTATTGACAAATAACTTTAATATTAATACAATATATATGTATTCTCTAAACCGGTGCTTTCCTAAAATCTTATGCCCCAATATGTAACATTCATAATTTGTAATACTAAAAAATTAAATTGCTTGTTCAAGAAATTTAAATGACAGGAAGAGATCAATAGATAATTGTTAACCAGTTTAAATCTTCAAAACATAATGTAAAACTGAAATTCAAATTCCAAATAATTTTTATCAAGATTTTTCTATTAATTTACTATTTTAATTTAGTGAGATCCTTGTGTTTAGTGCTGCACAAAGATTTTATATTATGTTCCAATTTGGTTGGCTTCAGTCTCATGTCTCCACGTTGTGTACGCCGATTTGGATTCCCCCCCTTAACAATCGAATTGCCTCCCTGTCTGGCTCGAAACAATACTGCTGCAAAGCGAAAGTCTTTTGGCGTACCTAATAAATGCTTATCTTCATATTTGGCCTCTCTGAGCGCGTAGAGGGCGCGCACTGCCTTACTAGCGTCCTCATACGTGATCACCATCGACCCGTACTCGTAGTAGATCGGACCGATTGATGTGAACTTATTATCTAGACAAGCGAAATTAGTTGTTATATATTGTTGCTAGAGTAGAATTTTCTGTGTAGATGTCTAATGAGGTATTTTGTATGCAAGATACAAAAACTTCCTTTGTCAGAAACAGAAAGCCATTGATATATTTGACTCAATGTGAATTTTTATCATGATATCGATATTTAGTATTGTTCTTACTTAAAAATAAATGTACATTATTTTGTTAGTAAATCAACTAGAAATTTGATTTTGTTGCCTTTGGACTAGAGACTCTTGGGGTTCAAGTGCACAGGCGCTAATGAAAGGTTTAAGTTGGCGCCTAATACTACCGGTGACCCCATAGCTGGTGCTTTCCTCAAAGAATAAATATCGCAATACAGCAAGGAAATGCTGCCAGCGTTAAAGATCTGCCACTTCCAAAATTTTTAAATTTGTTTTTATCTTCTATTTATCAATTTCTAATTATTATTATGTAGGTTAAAAATATTGTAAATGCTGTATATTTGTGTTGTAAATAAACGGCAATTAGTTAGTAATTTGCTGTATTATATGATAACAAACTTATACTACATATGATTTTTTAACGAAAATATGTCTTAAAAAACCTCTTATTGGACAACTCATGTTCGTCGATAATATTGTTGTGGACTTACCTGCACCTAAAAATTCTACAAGTATAGTCTCGTAATTCCGTTCCGAGAGGCCAGGAGGTAAGGAAGCAACAAATAAAGCTAAGGTCGGCCCGTGCGGGTCTCGACGTGGTTGTAAATAAAACCGCGCCAGCTCCATTCGCCGGACCGAATCGCGCGCCAGGCGGACTAGAATCCGCCATGGCCGCTCGTCTTCTTCTAACACACGTTCTGACACTGTAAAACCAAGTTGTATTAGGAATTAATTAAGAATAATAACAGTTTAGATTCTATTTATAATAAGCTCTTCGGGCTACTATTAATAAATTAAAGTTTAGCGTATTTTCAAGAGCCTTAATTTTCCCGAAATAACTACAGACATAGGTTCTTTTCACAATACTGACTCTGTACGTCCTAAATTTGTATAAAGAGGCCAGCTATTTTTTATGAAACAGGGGCAAACGGCAGGAAGCTCAGCTTATGTTAACTGATACAGCCGCCCATAGACACTCACATTGCCAGAGGGCTCGCAAGTGCCGGCCTCTTAAGAATTGGTTCGCTCTTTTCTTGAAGGTTAATGTAGATCTTATAAGACTAATTAACACATGGCACAAATATTATGTAACTCTTCTCGTTCCATTATCATACCTCCTCGATCCAGTAGAATCTCAGAGCAGCGGTAGTCCTGCGTGGCAGAGGAGGGGTCCAAGCCGAACCTTTCTAAGGCGGATGCCATTAGGTCAGCAACGGACTCATCCCCCATACACGGTACAGTTACGAACGTGTCACCCGCACCCGCTATTCGACCCGGGTACACTCGCACTTCTCCACCCCCGGTTTCTGGCTCTCTGTATAAAGTATAATCAATAACGCCTTTGCAGTAGAAATTACTATTGTTATATAGTTTCAGATATTCAATCAAAGAAATAACCGGGCGTGTCCTTTACATAAAACATTCGACTATGTATTTGCGTGCGTGCTCCTATTTCACCATGCCTCTAGCTGATAGTAGAAAAACCTTTGTTTTTTATTTTTATTATTTATTAACTATTAATTACTTAAGATGTCACGTGGAACATGGGGTAATGGTTGCAGCTCCTTACAAATACTGTGTAAAACAAAAAACTTGGCGATTAAAAAGAGTGGCGGAAAGTTTAATGCCAGTTCTTCGCGTTCGTTCTAAGTCCTTGATTTGAGAACTGGCAGTAAATGTAAAATTAGAAGCATTTAGCATTTAATACGTATTTCTTTATTGACGTTCATAAGTGTACATTCAGTTATCTAAACGAATAAATGATTTTGACTCTGACTGACGATTTATTTAGTTTATTACTTACATAAACCGTAAGAATACAGCGGGACGCTTGTTCGGCAGCCGCGTGACGCGAGCCAACGGTGTTGGGTCTTTCAGGGGCGGCTCGTCCCCCGCCAGAGCATCTGTCAGTTCGAACTGGTCTGGATCCCGGGCCACGTGGAAAGCTCTTAGGGCCGCAGCTACGAGCTCCCGTTCGTTCCAATTCCTCCCGACCACGACTGGACGGTACAAGCGACGTGACCACGCCGCTTCACCGTCGTATACTTTCACTACCTCTGTTGGGTGATTTATGTGTTATCAGAACTATGTGAGAGTACTTTCATTCTAACGATTTAGTCAATTTAATTTCTGTTGACAGTTCTTTGAAAATCTATATTGTTATTTCGAGTAAGTGTAATAATAATAATAACGCCTTCTTTTATTTCTATATCCTTAATTTAGTTGTTAAGTATTGTTTGTGTAAGGTTCCTGGGTCATTGGGGTGCTTTAAATAATAGAGGATATTAGGTTAACTCTATATTATTTCACGTACAACAAATAACGGACGCGAAATAACGAAATGTTAATTGCATAGTAACGAATGAATGCAATGTAATGTAGTTGAAGAGTGTGCCTACGTCTGGCTACACTTTCAGGGCGTTATTTCGACGAATTAGGAAATCGCCACGCTTAAGAAAGCCTGAGTGAGCTTCTGCTCTGCTAGCATTTGTGCCACAACGAACAAAAAAAATTTATCCAAAAAATAAAATAAAATTGTTTTTATTGGACACCCCTTATCACTTAGGGGTTTGAAAGATAGATAGTAGCCGATTCTCAGACTTACTGAATATGCATAAAAAATTTCATAAGAATCGTTCGAGCGGTTTCGGAGGAGTATGTGAACAAACTGACTCGATAATTTTATATATTAGAAGAATCGTACACTCGGAAATTCATTTTTTACTTCATTAGTTATTGGGTGAGTCGACAATAAGAACCTGATAAGATATTTTGGGGAAGTAATGTACCTTCATCTCTATCGTCTGGCGTTCGATCTCTATGTTGTTTGTGGTCAGGTTTGTGCTCCTGGTCCGCAGGTGCGCCTGTAGACCCTCCACCGGACCCTGACCGGCCCTCGCAGCCTGAACTGAACTCCTCACTGACGCTGCGAGCTGGAAATCCACAACATTGCTTACGCCCCCCATTCGACCCCGTATACACTAAAATTAACTTTAACTACTATTCCTTATAACCATTTAACTGGTTACTAATAATCACTATTTATTCCACTCATATACATAATGGAAACCTTTCTTCTCGTTAAAACGTAACACAAAACTTCATTAATATTTTAAACTAAGTAGAAAAGTCTCCAATCTTTATTTATATTAATCACTCTTGGTTAAAATTGCGTTTAATCTAATTGTTATTTAATTCGTCTAGTTTATTAAATTTTAGAAAACAGAAAACGTTAAGTATTGCCAGTTTTACTGTCACTTTAAAAACTAGCAATACTTTTAACACTCGCAACACTGACATAATTATAGCAACACTGATGTGTGTATGTACCTTCTTAGATGGGATACCAAGTACCCGACTCGTTCGCGCCTCTCCTCGATTAATAAAAAAATCAAACTACTTTCAGAAATGTAGATAGATATGAGAGAGGTATTTGAATTTACTGAATATGAAAATCGTGAAATGATGTTTACATAGCCAGAGGGGTTGCTTGTGCGTTGTCTGCCTTTTAAGTATCCTCTTTTCTTGAAGGACCTTAAATCGAATTGCTTCGGACAGCTGGTCCCACATAGGCGGCAAAAATGCCTTAAAAACGCTCATTTGTGGAACGACGGACGTCGGAGTGATGTTGTATTCTGCCTCGACGTCCGATGATGAAACTCAGCATGTATTAATCCGAACAAAATTTGATGGTAAAAATTTGAATTGTGATCGGGGAATAAAAGTAATCTTCGTGATGTATCAATTTTTTTTTGAAATTGAATGATATGTTTCAAGGATTTTGAAATGTTGAGTACTGTGGATTATGGACATGTAGTATAGTCTAGTCGACAAGTTGAAAATGGTACAAAATAGAGATACTGCTCTTAAAATTATGTGCGATAGCTCATTGGATTCGGAATGACGTCTAGAAAAATGTGCCAAAAGCGTGTACTTTTAAGTAATGTTGTTAAAGTAAAAAAATTGTTATAAACAAAGTATAAATATTTTTTTAACTTTTATGGCACGATCTTGTTAAGTATGTACATATGTAAGAAAGGCTCTACGAAGCGAAAATTTTTTACGACCATTATTTAAACATTTTTTTCACTTACAATTAAGACGGTACTTCGAGAAAATTTCGTTAGTTAACAATTGTTTAACTTGTTGAAAAATTAACTTTAAGTAAAATTTCCAACGGGAATAAATTAATTATAGTGTTCAGAACACACCATAATTTTTTCATATTTAAAAAAAATATTCAATACCTTAAATAAATTAATTAATGTGCCGTACTCGCTTTTGACGCCACGCGCGCATCCTAAAAATGTCACGCGCAGACCTATTTTCAGCGTTAAATTAAAATTATAAATAATGGAGATAGAGTTCCGGGAGTTAGGAGCTTTTTATTGGAAATTTCCTCTTCTTTCAGAATTTTTTTTTTAAATTTCTTAAATATTAATAATACACGCTTTTGGCACATTTTTCTAGACGTCATTCCGGATCCAATGAGCTATCTCATATAATTTTAAGAGCAGTATCTCTATTTTGTACCATTTTCAACTTGTCGACTAGACTAGTAAGTGTAAAGCATTGTATAAGCAAGAAATATAGCGAAAGGCATGCAAAAGCTTTTTTTTTCATGACCTGAACCTTCAATTGTAATATGTTAATATTTAAAAGTTTACTCCTTTATTCAAAATGAATCCAGGCATATTATATAATTCATTGCCTATTTGGATTACTTGTTTGATTTATGAAAATGTATAATTCATATTACTCTAGATTTGGTTATCGCATTGTTATACTGATACAGTTTATTTTGGGTAATTTGAAGATCAGAAAGCACATAGCAGACGTAAGAGTACACAGGCATACCTCTAGAGTACGGGGGCGAAGCGCCATGATGCGGCGTGCAGGATGCTGGCAGCAGCCTCCGCGCCAGGGTGACCAGCCGCGGCGTCCATCTTCGCCGCCGCGCTGCCCCAAACACAACCTCACCTCACGCTCTAACCCCGCCCATGTGCAGAACCCAAAACCCCACGTACGCGGGGACTAAAACCGCACAAGAGTGGGACCAAAACCGCACATGAACGGGACAAAACCGCACATGAGCGGGACCAAAGCGATCTGCGAAAGACACTTACGGCAACCGAAGTCCCGCTGCGAGGGTGGAGGTCGCACGTGGACGCCTATGATGGCTTCCATTGGCACCTCCGTTCGCGGGATGGAGACCGCTGACGGAGGCAGGAAGATCGGTTGTAATGTTCCGAAGTTGCATTCTTCTTGTATTAGCGCACGGCAGCCTGCGTGACACTGTACAATTTTCCGAAGTGTGAAATTCTCTTCTAAGTAATCTATATTTCTCAGCCGATAAAACAGCAGCAAATTTTCAATCACAAAGTATAAGAAATTTATATTTTAACAATGTTTAGTTTATAGCTAAAAAGCAACTATATGTTTAAAGCACCTGTATCTTAAAAAAAATACTCTGTCTATAGTAGCTTATCATTAAAAAAATTGCGTGCGTACAAAGTACACATGTCAGAAGTGAAACTTCTTTGGCAAACTAATTTTTAATCTTGTTCATATGTATACAAATCTAAGTATTTCCGAGACTTAGAGGGAGGGAAAAAGGAAGATATTTTAAGAATTGAATGAATTGAAAAATGAAAGAATGAATTTAATTGTCATTAAAATATTCAAAGTGTCGAAAATTAATACAAATAATTTATTTCTTCGATAATAAAAACACGTGGCATTTTAATTAACAATTCGTCATTTGAGATTTCAATAAACTATTTTGCATAAAATATAAAATATTAATATTTCTTAAATTCTCTAAGAAATTTTAATTTTAAAAACAGAATTTCTATAAGGTAATTCTCCCATCTCACTCTCTCTTACTTGGTCTCAATCGCTCTCTCCCTTTTCTTCGACTAAAACGTTGCACATATTCGTGACGTATCCGTAAAAATTTTACCCTCATGCGCCTAAAGAGGTTTTACTTCAAAAATCAAGCACACCACTACACGCAACACTCGTCGAGCGAGTTTGCTTATCTTGCCAAAGCCGCGTACAAATTATTTAAAGAAGTCTATTAAGTTAATACTAATAGGGTGTGCAATTAATCAATCAATTACCGTCTAAAATTCGTAATATTAGCGCGTTTAACCAATTCAAAAGGGCATTAAAGATGCATATCAAAATGAACCTAGTTCGAGTAGACTAAAATTAGGACGACTGATGGCGACGTGTATCTCATTCGAATATATTCAGTTTCTTATGGAAATACATTTTTTGTAATGAGAAATAAATTTCTTTAAACATTAGTTTGAAATTTTACAATAATAATTTAATATGTAACAGTAGACAGTGCTACAGACGTCGAGATATGATTTTTACATTATTACAGAGGTACTCACAGTACTGCCGCACCATTCGCAGCGGTAGCCGGTTAGGCATTCGGCGGACCAGCAAGCCCTTCGACACGCCGAACACTTGGAGTTTGCAGGCAGATTGCCTTCTCTCCAGTGATGGAAATGCCGGGGCTCGCTGCCCGCGCAGTATGTTGCGTTCTCTTTGCAGTCTGCCGCTGCGAAGTCCACACATTCTCCGTGGACGAAGTATTCGCATACTAGACATAGAATTAATTTGTTAAAAAAACAATTTATTAGAACCATAAACATTTTTAGCGTTGTACGTAGTTTTGATATTACAGACATTAACACATTACACAACTAATCCTTTTAAAATTAGGTATAGCTAGGAACTGTTTTTAGCAGTACATTTCAATATCTAGCCGTAAATACACCTTATAATTAGAAAATAAATACTTAATCAATTTTTCTGTGGTTATGGTGGTGGCGTGGTACCTTTGGAATAAAATTAAGAATACTTTTATTGTGAAATGCCGCTGCACATAATTTAACAGTAAATTTATTTATTAATACTTACTCATGCAATGTAAAGCTGGTAGTTCGTCAAGTCGTTTCCGACACACCGTGCAGAACTTCCGTTTGTGGTGAGTCGGCTCTGACCAACAGTGAGCCACTGGGTTCTATGCAAAATTAAAAGAAGTTAACTATCAAGTAACTAAGCAGTGGCGTAACAATAGGATGGCAGGGCTGGCAATATGCCACGGGCTCCCGACCCAAGAGGGATAAGCCCAAGAGATATTATGTGCTATGGATGAATGTGAAGTCTCCAATAGGCATTGGGACTACAGACCTCTCTCGCCTAAGAGAGGAGGCCTATGGCCATTAGTGGGACATATACAAGTTACATTGAAATAAACAAACTAATCTTGTTAAGTTAAAATGTATATAAGATTTGGTTATGCACTTCTTGCACTTTATCCGTCATATTTCCATACTAGGGTTGCCTGGAAGAGATCACTAGTTAGCGCTAAGGCCACCCGTTGCATCCCTTATGATTTTTATGTATTATGTTATTTGTTCTTCTATAAATATAACGAAGTGTTAATAAATAAAAAATACATTTGAACACGGAGTCGACTACGTCATTTTCGGATTAAAACTCCAATTAATTATTATTGGTCTATAAATAGGATAACGTTATCATGTTTTTGCGTTCATGAACATATTATTGATCTATTAATTTGACTATGAATTTTGTTTTTCGTGCATTTAAATGTATGGGGTTTATATTTCATGTTACAATTGCTTTTAATACAATTCATCATATACCAGTTTGTTAAGTATATTGATGATATTCATCAGTTTCCGTCTGAGCAGCGTTGAACTGGGCTCACTCGTAATGAACGAAAATAGGATACAGAAATTTGGGGCGACTGAGTGCCCTACTGGTTTTTATTCTTATGTTACCTTTTTTGGAATATTTTATATTCATATGTTTCTAAACGTTTTATAAACTCAAATTAGTCTTCGCCATTTTATACACACTTATATATATCTTCTCCAGCTAATTCCCCGACTACTTGGTCATACTAAATAGTACATTTGATAACCTTTGCTTGTGTAGGAATCTCGCAGCAATTACAATTTTTTTACCAACTTTTGAATAACAAATTCTTAATAGGCCGGCAACGCACTTGCGAGCCTTCTAGCTTGTGTTGTGGGCAGCGGTATTACCTCCTGTTACATAAATAAAAACTTAAGATAAAATAACTGAAGTATTAACCTTTATAAGGCTCGGCGCCACTCCACAGCACGGCGTTACCACCTGTCCGACGCATCGCTCGTGCACTATGAAGTTGCACACTGAAAAATAAATACATATATTAGTTCTAGTAGTGAATACTTAAAAACACAGCAGTTCTATTTTTGAATAAATATTTAAATCAAATTACAATTACACGTTCAAGAAACACGACCAGTTTTTTTTTCATTTGTTCTTCTATTCATTCTGTTGTTTCTGAACATTGGAAATGACTTAAGACATTAAAGTTAGGACAATTTGATAGACACACCTTTTCTGTGTATAATTAATAACACAACAAATATGAAGAGCTAAATTTAATACATTTTTATAAAAAATAATTAGTTAATATAAGATTATTGTTCCTTTAATTTAATTATCGAAATGGAAGTTGATAATAGCTATTTTTTATATAGAATCTGTGGCCGGAGATTACAAATTACAGTTACATCTCGGGCATAGACAAGATCAGAGACGTACAGGAGGAGGGCTGCGCGTTCCCCTAGATCGATAGCTTCGCGCATGCTCCGCAGCTCTCACAATACCATCTAATCGACATTTATTAGCCTCTCGAAAGTAGCCATTGCTCGGCAATACGATATTTTAAAAGAATAAATAAAAGGATTACTCAATTTAGTTTTACTTGAGACAAATAAAAACTTATGGGCCTTTGTTAGTAACAATGTTAAACTTTCTATAACCGATGCGTTTTTGACAAAAAAATATTAGTATAAAGAGTTTCTCAATTAGATATTTAAAGTTAGTAACATATTATTATTAATAGAAACTCATTCATATTTACCTATTGATAGAATAATACGGTAGAGTTAAAATATACGAAGGTTATGATAATGATGTCAGACTTCTTTGACAGAATATAAATAATAAATGTAAATTGTTTATTGACTAAAGAGTAGCTCCTATGTATCAGTGACTACTTTGTTGGTGCAATAAATAAGTAAAATAAATAAATAATAAATGGCAGCACTTCCTTTCTGAATTGCAATGATAATACGGCTCGCAAGAAAAGCGTCAGACCGAATATTTCATTGTTTACTTACTTACTTTACCTTACTATTATACATTTTATTATATGAATGTAGTACATATATATCTAGTACATATAAATACACAATACATTTGGTCACTTAAACAACAGTATATTAGAATGATATTAATAATAAAAATAGTACATTACTACGTTATCAACAAAGGCCGTGCTTTGTGTTAAACTTGACAATGCAGAATATTGTGCAAAACAAATATTTTAGTCTGTAAATTTGCGCAATTTAAAAAAAAGCACTTAATGATATAGAATACAAAAAGAACAAAATCAGATTGATTTAAAAATATTTCCAAACTAATTACGATTTTTGAATGTTTTGAAATGTTATAGTTATATTATGCAATTCATGAAACAACATCATGAGGAAAATATAATTCATAATACATTACCATTAGACACGTAATAGTCATCATAATAGTGGATATTCGGAGACAATATGCATTCTACCAAAGTATACACTCATATGACCAAAGGTATACTAGAATAAACTTATAAAGTATAAGTTCTCTAACACATCTCTACTATTACGAAGCTCAAGTTTATTTATTTAACTATATTTGTTAAATGACATTTTAATTGTTGTTGTTTTTTTGTATTAAGATTATCAAATTTTAGTTTTAAGAACTGTCAAACCATTTCTTCTATATGAAGTTTGACGTATTAGACACCGCTCAAGGCGAGATTGTGACTTGAGATACGAATTAGAATATGGATAAATACGCCTCAGAGATTCAGCATTTTATAAGTTCGGTTTACAAAGTATAATTTTTTATTGCCTAGGAGATAATAACACGTTTTTTATGGATATCAAATTTATAATAACATTATGCTTGCTGTTTATTGAAAAATAAATCAAATAATGTATAAGGAAAAATATTGTTTTCCTACACAAACTTAATAATTTGCGTTAATAAAAACTTTCAAAATGGTATAAGGTTTAATTGGTTGTAACAGAAGTTTTATTTTGTATTTCACGACATTTTTTTTATTTCATGTTTCCGTGGTTTAATAGTTTCTTAGCCGATAGAGTATTTGCGAATTACTTGAATTCTATAGCTGTTTCGGCGAAATGCAATTCCGAAGGCATTTAGTACCAGAATTTGCATTCCGAGAAATCATTGTTTACTTGTTATTAAAGCAATGTAAATGAAATTCATTAAGGTATATAAAACTTTTGAAACTAATTTTTTCTTCTCGATTTCGTTACTTGAGTTTTTTTGTTTTGGTATATTATGTTACCAAGTTTCAATTATATTCTTAATTGAAATTATAATTATATCTTAGTATGTTTATATTCTTTTTGTTTTAAATTCTTTTCAATGGACAGAGACTCGGAGTAAAGAGCTAAGTGTGACTCGCTTATGTCAAAAACGTTCAGATTTTTACTTATGGCAATCATAGTTCGCACTAAGGCTTTCTTTAACTTCAATCAAATTTAAGTTTTAAGAACTGTCAAACCATTTCTTCTATATGAAGTTTGACGTATTAGACACCGCTCAAGGCGAGATTGTGACTTGAGATACGAATTAGAATATGGACCTGAGTCTTTCTTCTGAATCCCTTTGTTCTTATTACAATAATATTTTATACCCCTAACTATGCTTATTAATAAATTTTTTGTGTGACGGCGTAGATCCCATCTTACTCATTTTATTTTTATTAGGAGGTGACCCTATTAAAAATAAAACGTCATATTTATTAAAATCAATTTGACAAATGAATAATTATTATGAACTTACGTTTCTGTGGACACCACGTGAACCAAGCTCCTCTGCGCAATGCCGAACAAAATATCGTGGATACTTGTGATACCAAACTCTCACAGGACATTGTCAATATTAATTCGGTCAAAAACAAAATATCTTCAGCAAATCGCGCTAAAAATAAACCCAACATATAGCAATACTATTTATATTTCGCGCCCTTTTCACATCCGCCTCAAAACAAATGGCGCTATTTTTGCTTGCATGTCAATAAAGACGAGGTTCTTACGATGAAGGGCACCGGCGATCAAGGAAACGTATTAGCGGTGCTCCGACGTACCTACGTCACGAATCACGATATATTTAAATAGCCTCGGGGCGGGGCCGAGCGAGAAAACTGACGGACGCGCTTGCAGTCCGCGCGGCACCACCTCCTCGATGTTGCCATTTTAAAAAAAATATAAAAAAACACACATCGCCTTGACAAATCCATTCGGTAATAGTATTACAGGTTTATGAGGCACGTAATGGTTGCACCCCTGCCAAAGTAAACAGATGAAAATAGTTTGAGGGCATTAGCCTGTTGATCACCAGCGAAGTTCAATGAAGTGTTATGCCTTTCGAGTTTAAGATTATACTACGCGATTATATACGACAGATGGTAAAAGTATTCCCGGTTATTCTATTTAAAAACGTGTCACACGCGTGCACCCAAAGGCAAACAAACACAGACTGCATCACGAGCGGGGAGTTGCCCTGCGCAGACGCACAACCCAGAGTACGCCTTACTTCTACGATAAATACGCCTCAGAGATTCAGCATTTTTTAAGTTCGGTTTACGAAGTGTAACTTTTTATTGCCTAGGAGATAATTACACTTTTTTATGGATATCAAATAAAACATTATGCTTGCTATTTGTTGAAAAATAAATCAAAGAATGTATAAGGAAAAATATTGTTTTCTTAGACAAACTTAGTCATTTGCGTTAATAAGAACGTTCAAAATACTTTTTGTAATTTTACGACTCGAAAAACAGTTAGTAAATATTCAAAAATAGAATCAATAAAACACAATGCGTCTGCACTAGTATTTGTTTTGCAGGTTAAAATTAATCTTGAGTAGTCAAAATAATACGAATTGTAAAGTAATAATTTAAACAAAACCTACTACTGTATGTAAATGTACGTAAATGTTTAGCTTATAACAATTTTTAAACATAAAAATATAGTTCCCTGAACGTATTGAACTTGATGGTGTGTGAATATACAGCTAATTAAGTCAATGAATCAGCGGCCCTAAATAGAATGGTTAAATATAGGCCGGAGTTGGCTACACGTGAACGAACTTCCTTATCTAGATGATTTTAGTTTAAATTGCTGTTTCCGGGGCAGCGTAGTTATTTATTGAAACATGAAGCATTTATTCATTTTAATTATGTAAAAGCTAATGATTCTATGGAATTAAGAACGATTTTAATCATCCATTGAATTTCCACAAATTAAATTTTCAAGTAAATCATTTCAATTTAAAATTCCCTCAAAAATTTGTATTTTAAATTTTAAATGCAATTTGTATCAACCAATGGAATATTTGCGGTCTGTTTGCTACATACGAAATAATTCGCAAATTAATTAGGTCAACCCGTAGCGCAAGTACTCATTTAATCGTTTCAGTTAACAGTAATTTCCGTTAAACTTAAAAATTATTATTAAAGAAATACATAAAGACATTTTATAGGTAAGCAAATCATTAAAATAACCTCAACAGAATCAAAGTGTTGTCTAACTACGGTTTAGCGAACTAAAACTGAACTATTATTTTGAGACATCACATAGTATAAACAATCCTGATAATTTTCCAGCCGAAAATTGTGAATATTTTTTCGTTGCGAACGTAGCGGCCTTCAGGGCACAGCGGGGCGGGGGCGGGGCGTGCGCGCTAGGTCACCATTGACGTCACGCGGTTCATCCAATGGCGGTCCCTTTTGTAAGAAGTTTTGACAACTAGAAGTAGTTTCTATCTGGTTCTATTGGGAATAGCTTTTACAGTGTAAAAAATATCGTATATATTTTCGATGTAATTGATATAATACAAATGAGTAAAAAGGCTTTAGAAATTATTATGACAGCTAAGAGATTTCTGGAAGATTAAAATTAATTTTTCTAAAACCTCTTAGCGATTAAGAGCAGTGTTGGCCTAGGCTTCAGCGTGCGGCTCTTATCCCTGAGGTCATAGGTTCAATCCTCGGCTGTGCACCAATGGACTTTCATTCTATGTACGCATTAAATATTCGCTCAATGAAGGAAAACATCGAGGAAACCGGCTCGCTTTAGACCCAAAAGAACTACGGCGTGCGTCAGTCACAGGAGGCTGATCACCTACTTGCCTTTTAGATTAACAAATGATCATGAAACAGATATAAAAATCTGAGGCCCAGACCAAAAGGTTGTAGCGCCACTAATTAATTTTTTCTTAGCGTAAACATGTGTAGATAGACTGCATTTTCATTAATTGCATTTTTGGTTTTCTTACAATTCCTCTCTTTCTGTCATACTATTCAAGTATAGCTATTAAATTTTTAAAAACATAGTTGATATCTGACATTAAGTTCAATAATTCGATATTTTTTCACTTAAAGCAAGGAAATAGACAAATAAATGTTTCGATATAACATCAATAAATGCCGATTGATAAAACAAAATAAGCATTAATTTAACGATGGAAACATCAAAGTACTGAGCCGAATCTATTGAGACACCTGTAAGCGTTGTAAGACTTCTTAAAAACAATCGCTTTTATTAGATTTTGGAGATTTTTTAACACTAGCATCTTAAAAAGAACGGCGGAGAGTTTATTGCCAGTTCTCCATCTCCGTTCTACGCCATTGATTTGAGAACTGCCAGTAAATTTAAAATTAGAAGCATTTAATATGTTTTTTTTGACGTTCTTAAGACATTTCCTTTACCAAGATAGCACATATAAAATATATTATACAAGTCTTCCCGATAAGCTGTCAGAGAGGAGGACCTGACTGAAGCTTTTGGGTAGTGGCACAGGAAGTTTCTCGTTTCGGAGGCCAAAACACATTTTGGGTCGCAGTGTCTTTCACAACCGGAATTCAATCACACCATTTCAGAGTTGAGAACACACGATTAGCCACTAGGTGAACACTGCCCTTATTGAACATAAAAAATTAATATCAAGTAATATTGTAGTCTTGCTATTCAAAGGGGGAACGCTGCCAGTATCGTCGCAACCTTGCCTAAAGGGACTCTTTTTAATATTATATTTTAGTTATTTATCATATTTTTTAAGTTTTTACGTTGCTTAATTAATGTAGTATTTATATAGGAGTAATATATGTTTTTGTTTTTTAATAATATTGTACATATCGTACATTTTAGTAATATTGTACATACTGTAGAACACTTTCTCTAAAAAGAGCTACGATTCTACGAATTGTCTACGTAGATCAGCTACGGTGTGATGCTACGCAGACCTCGCTACGTTATTTCCAATCTGTTCTACGAGTAACAAAAATTTTCACGTTGACTAGAAAAACTATGTAGAAACGATTATTATCCTCAATAATATGTTATAGATAGCTTGCCTAATTCTGTAAGACACATAACACAATACTGAGGACATTTGGTGAATGCACAAAGGCGCAGGCACTGTACGTAGTATATAAGTATTTCTATTGTCCGAGAATATTTAAAATCTATAAATAAATATAGCATAAAGTAGTTACTCGATACATAATAAAAGATATAATATATAAAATACTAGGCGGTCTTTCCCAGCTTTGAACAGGGATAAGGTGGAAAGTATGTGTCTAATAATTTTTGAAATCATTCGTAACAAACATTTTCCTTAGAGATACCAAAATAAATATATATCTAAGAGATATAGTACCAGTATACCAAGATTGCGTTATAAATCACAGCAAGGCGTTAAGTATCGTATATTTTGAACAATGTTATAAGGAGCGTAAAACGCATTTATTTCTGTCTGCGTACAGGAATACTAACTGTTATTTTAGCTTTAAAGTGATATAAATAAACCTATTGTAAATGTGTTTTGACCTATATTTACTGCCAAATTCTAGTTCAGTTCGTTCAATATTTTTATAGTTTGAAACAAAACTATACAAATATTGAATTGAGTTGAATTTGTATATAATGGCGGTAACATGTTAAAGATTATTTACTGTTAATTTGACAATAGTTTACATATATATTTAAAAAAATAACATTCTATAATCTATCTCTGCAACTGTATTTATATAAGCTATATTCGTTTTCCCTTTTTATACACTAAAATGAAATTTACATAAAATAATCTTATTTATACATATATATATTAGGTCCTTACATATGAAATTGGCGTTTTGTTACATATGAAAGTCGAATATTTTTAAATATAATATATTTAATTAATCAAAGTATGAACCATTGTTTTCTATGCACTTTTGCCATCTCATAGGTAGATCATTGATCCCTTTACTAAAAAAAACCAGTCGGACGGGAATCAATAAAATCTGTGAAGGCGATTTGGACTGCCCCATCAGAGTTAATTTTTTTCCCTTGCAAGAAGTTGTCCAAATTTCGAAAAAAATGGTAATCTGTTGGAGCAAGGTCCGGGGAGTACGGAGGATGTCTTAGACATTCCAATTGAAGCTCTGCTAATTTGGTAGCCGTCTGTTGTGCAGTGTGTGGTCTAGCGTTGTCGTGAAGTAGCAGTGGCGTGGAGCGATTGACCAGCCTAGGTTGTTTAGCCGCTAGCTTTTCCATCATGGTTTGCAATTGCTGACAATAGACATCAGCCGTAATAGTCTGGCCAGATTTGAGAAAACTGCAATGAACAATACCGGCACTAGTCCACCAAACGCTTACAAGTAACTTTTTGGGGTTAATTTTCGCTTGGGGCAGGATTTGGCTGGCTGGCCAGGATCCAACCATTGCGCTGAGCGCTTCCGATTATCGAAAAGAATCCATTTTTCATCACAGGTAATGATTCGGTTTAAAATACCTTCATTATTGTGCGGGTTCAGTAATGTAACGCAGCAGTCGACGCGCGTTTGCCGGTTTGCTTCAGTGAATTCGTGAGGTACTCATCTTTCAAGCT